TGTGTGTGTGTGTGTGTGTGTGTGTGTGTGTGTGTGTGTGTCCACGCGCGTGTTTGTCTTTTACGAGGACGGACTACCGCCGAGGAGTCAAGTTGTCTTCAGATTCCTCCAAAACCGAGTTCAAAGCGAGACTGGCGTTGCTTCTTCTTCTTGAACCCCTTCTATTGTTCTTGGCAACCTTAGAATAATCATCTTCATCTTCCGCGCCATAGTAACCTCCTTTGTCGGGATAATCTGGAGAGCTCGCCGTCCTATTATTAGATTTAGCACTTCCTCGGTTCCGTTCGGGAGATTGAGGCGTTTCACCACCTCCCCTTCCGACGGCTTTCAAGTCAGAAGATGGTTGCAGCAAGGCATCGTCTGCTCGAGTTTCATTAAGGCTTGAATCTCTCAGGAGACGATCTTCCACACTCAACGATTTATTCCTGGATATTCTGGTCTCTTCTTTGATATCGTCGTCAGATTCTACGACGTCCTCCTCGTCTTCACCGTCGTCGCTCTTATTGTTGAAGTGATCGTCAGAGGACTTTCCGACTGCTGCTGTTGTTTTTTGACCATCATCACCAAAATTGTCTTCGTTGTCGTTGTCGTCTGCTTCGTTCTCAGACTCGGAGAGAGCTACACTTGTCTCCTGTATTGTGTGGAACATGGTGTTGTATTCTTTCTGTAACAGCGCCGCCATAAATGCCTGGTACGCCCTCTCGCCCCTCTGTAGCAGCACGGCTAGAATCAGCTGAGAACAAAATTAATTTATTATATATTAATATAGGTTATTAACACACAGACCAGTCATATTTTAATAGTATGACTTATTATAAGAAAAAATAATTGTATTCGAGGTTAAGTACATAAAGTCACCATCGTTATCATCATCTACAGCTGCAGCACTGCCTCCACCACCCCCACCATTATCATTGTTGTATGTTCAAAAAGAGAAACACAAAGTCTCATAAGTGCGTCCAACGTTTCACTGTATGACTTCATCGGGAACATTAAGTAGAAATATTATGTTGATACTATTAGAACTACGCTATGGAAACAACATCATCATTATCATCATCATCATCATCATCATCATCATCATCATCATCATCATCATCATCATCATCATCATCATCACCCTCATCATCATCATCATCATCATCATCATCATCGTTTGGAAAGCAGATTAGGAGGGAGAGTCTTGTTTGAATTTCAGACAAAATAACATAACAATATGAAATGTTTAAAATTTGTTTAATAGCTCAACGTTTCGCCTCGTGGGCTTCCTCGGGAGCAACCTAATCATAATCAGCATAAGCATCATCATCATCATCGAGGCCGTCGTTACCATCGTCATTGTCGTAAAACGCCGTAATGAAAATATCACAGAGTTTACAGTAATTATAACTTGCTGAGGCACAGTGGCACAGACTCAAACATTATAATATTATTGTGTGTAATGTTGTGTTGGAACCAGGCGTTCGTCAATTTTTGGGATTATGTTGTTATTGGTACTGTCTTAAAGCTTGTTCATTTGTATTGCTTTTGATGCCAAAAAAATACTGATGTGTCTTGTAAAGCCACCTTAGCTGGGTCACACAAAGGTGAAGTTGACACAGGAACACTAGTTTTTTCTTTTAAAATAATATCCTTATACGGGGTGTCCACTATGGATAGGATCGCCCGACTCGATCGCCTCAAAAACAAACGTGTTTGTTTTCAGTTTCAGGCGATCGAGTCGGGCCGTAGTGGGCACAGAGATTGAACCCAGACCATGCCACATCTTTAATACATGTAGTGATTTCCTCAACTCACATCCCATTTCTTGTTCTTGCCATGCAAGTGGTGAACCATGTCTGCCTCCCGCTCCGTCATGACTTTGTTCTGGGTCAAGGTCGGAGTCACATGGGCAGGGTCAATGAACTCTCGGATGAGTTTGGAGTTCCTAGAGAGACGCACAGCGTACTCGTGGGGGTCCGGGCCTTGAGGCGGCATGGGTGTGTCAGTGGGCGTGTCACTGCCCGGTTTGGACTTTGTATTGCCACTGCCATTTTCGACAGGAGACGAACTCTGGAAGAAAGAGGATATGATGATTTGAGCTCTTTGTGAAAGGTCGTGGTGGTCGGTGGTATTTGTTTGGGTTTTCTAAGTTGTTTGTTGATCTTCAAAAAAAATAATTCCGGGGATAGCCTAGGGGCTGTCTTTGTTGTTGTTATTTTGTTGTCGTTGTTTTGTAATAGAAGTTGTTTGATTTTTTGCTTTGATTTGTTGGGCCTTTTAAAATTTGTTTTGTGTGTTTGTTTTTGTTCGCGTGTTAGTTTGTTGTATTGTGTTTTTTTCTTGGG